ATTCTTACTCAAACAAGACAATTCTTGTCCAAGAACCAATATTCTCACTCAAGTAACACATTATTTTCAGTCTTGAGTTATATCGCGAAAAGTAGGATTCTCATTTCGTTAACTGTCGGATCAAGCAAAAATTTTGACAATTGGTCTTATACACATGATTCTTTATTTTGATCATTTAGATATTTGATTGAAAGTTTGTACTGAGAGCAGTTTTTCACCTAAGATTTCCTTGGTGTAGGTTACTAATAACTTTGACCTTTGTTGCTGGTTTAGTACATAACATTTTTCATGGTAACACAATTAAGTTGATTCTTTTTGAATTCCATTCTCGAGTCAATTATCTTTATTTCAATGTAAGAATATAATTTTTGGAGTTTTATGGTGAAAGAAATATTTTTTTATCTTTTTGATGTAATTAATAGAAAACAAATGAGGTATGACAAATGTTTCTATTGAATTAAATTATATGTGGTTAGTTTGGATGTAGCTCAAATATATTATATTGATTGTTGAATTGATGAATGTGTAAAATATGATCTTAAGTTTTTTATTTAGCTCTGAACTTTGAAATTGTATTTTCTTAAGGAAAAAACTATTGTATGTTGAATCATAGTGTGATGTATGAATGATAATATAGGGGTGTTTGAGATTATCTTGATTGGTGAGTCGAGGAAGGTTCATGTTTAGAGGGTTGGTAATAACCACTCTTAATGGGATTTTAATTCACCTTACTATTTAATGTGGATCGGGTGCGATCCATATATATTTTGGTTATGACTTCTAGGTGCAGAAGTAATTTCAATGTGGATCAGGTGCGGTCCATATATATTTTGGTTATGGCTTTTGGGTGTAGAAGTAATTGTGATCGGATGCAGTCTATATATATTTTGGTTATGAATTCTAGGTTCATAAGAAATTTATAAATGGTAGGTTAACGATCTCTTATTACTAGTTTATACATCATTTTTCTGAAGGTTATGTCTATGATTAATTGGGATATGAATGAGTTTGTGTCTATGATTAATTGATATATGAATGAGCATGTGCCTATGGTTGTGTCTATGATTAATTGGGATATGAATGAGTTTGTGTCTATGATTATTTGAAATATGAATGAGTTTGTGTTTTGATTGTGTCTATGATTATTTGATATATGAATGAGTTTGTATCTAAGATTGTGTCTATGATTAATTGGGATATGAATGAGTTTGTGTTAATGATTGTGTCTATTATTATTTGGAATATGAATGAGTTTGTGTTTACAATTATGTCTATGATTATTTGAGATATGAATAAGTTTGTATCTAAGATTGTGTCTATAATTATTTAGGATATGAATGAAATTATGATAAATCTTGAAGTTTAAATGTTTGATTGTATGAATTGTGAAAGTCATGTAACTATGTTCTGAATTTCTAGATAACTAATTGAATTTGTTATTAATTTTATACTTTTTGTAATATAATGGCCAGTTATGACATTTATTTTATGATCTTATGAAGAAGTAGTATAATTGTGAATATGTTTTTGTTAGCTCAGTCTTGCATATTGTGGATGTGATTTTTACCTGCCATGATCGTATATGTATCAATATATATCCGAGAGTAGATGTTGTTATAGATGTTGATATGGATGCACGAAAGTGAGAAGTTTTAGGTTTGTTTAGGAAAAAATATTTTTCTTTGATATGTATTTGAATCTAATTGAAATAAAACCATCTAAGGAAGTCATATATACTTTGATTTAAAATTTTGGATAATTTTCTTACTTTTGAATTGTTTGAAATAAATAAAAGTTGTAGTTTGGATTACAAATTGAGAATTATGATATGAGAGAGTGACAGTAATACAAACTAATTTGTTAGTAACTTTTTAATACATTTATTTTTCTTGTATACATGCTAAAAGAATTAAACAATGAAATAATATTTATAAGGTGAGTTACTAATTTATTTTAGATTTAGATTACTTAAATAGAAAAAGAAAAAATGTTATTATTTATTTTTGGGTTACTAGTTCATTATATAATTTACAGGGACACAAAAAGTTGATAAATATTTTTAAGGAGGATTCATAAAGAAAAATAACATCAATGGAACATGAGTTCAATCTAGTTTGACTAGTGTTCATTGGAGATGGAGATGGAGAGGTGGATGAAGGTGTGAGAAAGCTAAGCCACCACTAATAAGGATTGACTGATGGATGTTGGGTCGAATAGGAGTCCACATTATATAGTTATAGTTGTTTAGATATGATTTGGCTATCAACTAACATTATTTTGAAATTATTACATATGTCATGTTTTCATTAGATTCAGGTGGAAGAACACAAAAAATCCTAGTAGTACCCACTACTAATAATAAGTTTAACCACATTTCTTTTGAAAATTTTTTCTTAGAACACCGAAAAATTAGACAAGTGTTTTTTTATAAATAAGTTGAATTAAACATGTACTTGTTAAGAAATGTACTTTAAACTTAACTCAACTTCAATATATATTTTAAATTGATCTTATCTCTAGTCGACATGTAACTTTCTGTGTACTAATAAAAACCTTTTAGACAATATACCAAAGATATCAATGTTACTCTCATAGCTTGTGCTTTCAAATGCTTCTCCTCCATCAAACCAATTGTCGTCATGTTGTCTTTATCCTTGGAGAGTGAAGATTTCATAAGTATTTGTTTTAGGTTTATGAATATAAAAGTTGGAAAGATTGGTCATTTTGTGGTTTTTTATCCCTAGCATGGCTACATGAGCAGTTATTAGAGCAGGACTTGACAAGTTGGCATTGTACAAAATCAAAGTACGAATATTCACCAAAAGGTAAAATCAAAGTATGAATAAGACTACATGCGGTCATCCCATATTTCCAAAACTTAAGTAAATAATTAATGTCACTTGGCATTAAAGACTAAAAATGTAGAGTTGGTCTTTGTTTTGTCTTATGGAAGCTTCTTGTTGGTGACAGAAACGTGTGTAACAAGTAGGTTTCAAGACAAATAGGTTTTTAGAAAATAGTGGACTTGACTAAGATACCTCATGGTCTTGTAATAGGTTTCAATTACTCTCAAATGTCACACAAATGTTTTTTAAATTTTTTATTGACAATAAATAAATAAATATTAGTAAAAGCATTTATAGTGCTTTAACCCTTTTTAAAAAAACACCCTACACCATTTGCATCAGAAATGGTATCTTTAAACACACCTAAACAACGGGCTAAAACACAAAACAACCCAACAAGTAACACTCATTAACTTTAAAGCAAAGAAAAACAGGCTAATAAATTTATTAATACTAGTAATATGCAGCACACACACATGAACAACACCAGAGTTGATATAATAAAACAATGTCAGAGCAATGATATAATAGCATAGATTTTTTTTTGCAAAATTTTGATATAATACGTGTGTTATTTTTTTTATTGAGTTTAGAGTATATTATCACGATAATAATGAACATGACAAAATGTTGTCAAAAAATATGCTTCTAATTTTTAAAACTCCTTAACTTGAGACCAAAACTAAATAATCATTATTATTATTATTAAATTTTCATTATTATTAGTGTTATATTTTTATTTACTCTAATATACAACAACTTCGGTTGTTGTGAAATCAAAAATTGAAAAATATGGAATAAATTAACTTTTTGTCTCTATATTTAAAACCGATCCAATTCAAAGTGTATTAGGTGTATTCAAGATTTTTTAATAATAAGTCACATTGTGATTATCCAGAATTTTATATCAGCTTAAGATTAGTTATTTGAAAGTTGTATCACCAAGGTATGTGTAGGATAATTTGAATTTACATTTTGAATTGTGTTGTGAGTTGAATGTTAAATGCTGAATGTGATGTGCGATTACTATGGGTATTTTATAATATATTTTAATATTACTTTAAAATGTTGTAAAACTAAATTATAATATATAAAATTAAATTACAAGCTGATTTTGTGGGTTGAGTCAAGCTTAAAAATTCATTTTTTTTTAATATGAAATCAGAAATTCACTTTTTTAATATGATATCAGAAACTCATTTAATATGGTATCAGAGTCAGGAGTCTATCATACACTTTTGAATTACATTTTAAAAATTATTGATTAGATCATGTATCCCTCAAATTTATTCTAACAATGCATATTTAAAACTAGATGAACAATCGTAGTTAGTTTATTAACAAACGTGCTTCTTGGTTTACTTTGGCAAATAAGTACTCCGTTTAAACTATAATCCTTTTAAAATATAAATTAATTGATATTCTCAGTATTCAAGGACATGGAAGAAAATATAACGAATAATAACGGCAAAGAAAAGTGACATGTCTCAAGACTAGCCAAATACGAAAAAGGATTCAAATATTATATGCTTTGATTTAATTAATATATATACTATAATTTAAGGGGGATTTTTTTAAGTAAAAGATGACTTTTGTTTATATTTTATTATCTCTGTATCTTAAAGAATATATGATTTTGTAACGAAAATACTTATAAATAAAAAAAGCAAAACCAAGGCTTAATTGGATTTTTTTTTCTTAAAGCACTTTTAGTTTTGAGTCAAACTTTTATCCTTTCCCATTTTTTTTTTCTTATGTATAGAATTCCAAACTCTTGACCAAAACATTTAATAAGTAGTATATTGATGTTAATAACTAAATCTTGTAGTAAAAAGTACAGTAACTCCATTAAAGGAAAAAAAATTGATAATTTTTTTATAATAACCTATATGGTAGTTTGTGATTGATTCGTTTCAAATATATGAATTAATAAAATAGTGACACATAATCTATTGTCAAAAAATTGTTAAAAAAAATTGTTAACATAATATAGTCTTTACATAAAATAGATTAACAAATGATGAATCATCTTGTAACAAAAGAGTGATTTGAGCATTGGAATTTCGGATAACGACAATGATAAGAATAAACATGGAACCATAAGAATTAAATTAAGTTGATAATGCACTTATTTGTTAATTAATGCGTCTTGCTAGAAAGAATTAAAAAATGAAATAACATGGAATTGAAAATGTTAGATACACGATTACTTCCAATTTATATATGCTAAGCTAAATAGTTATCACTTTCTTTCCATCCTCCTATCTGTTCTTCAGCAAATTTGTCTTCCACCTACACGAATGCACGAACCAAACATAAATTTAATTAATCAATGGGTGGATTATAATTTATAATTAAGTAGATAATGAAATTTATTAAGAATACCTTGGGAGTAAAAGTAACACCAACATCAATTTCTCCACAATAAGACTTGTCTGCACGAACCACTCTATACTTTAGAGTTTGTAGCTTAGCTCCTCCATTCTCTACTCCTTGGGCCAATAAATCCCCCACATGGATTCTACATATACAAAACATCAAATTAACTCTCTTTTTAAATCATCAACGTAACTTAGACAAAAAGTTACACTTAGTTAAGATTATAAACATGAAATTTATAATGCAGAGTCACATTGAAGTCTTACATGGCTTCTCCAACAAAGTCGTCTTTAAATAAATCTTTGTCCATAATTTTGAAGATGACCTTGTGTTGATCGTTTGATCCAGGATACTCTACTTTGAAGATAAACCGTTCATTCCATACCGGATTCTTTCCCTGCCCTGCATAAAACACCATTCAAAACTATGTTCAACAGAAACTTAAAATCCATAAATTGGGTACATAAGGTCTAATTGAAAACGAAGTTTAAATAGTGGTTGAAAATTTCGCATCCGTTAGAGATAAAATTAATTTAAAGTATAAATTTAAAAGTATATACAAATTTCAACTTACAAGTAAGTTTTGTAAAGTTTAATTATATTAAAGTTCACTTTTCAATATAATATCAGTATCAATAATTATTATCTATCCTAAGACGTAAGAGGAATGTATTTAAAGTTTCACATTAAATAAAAATAAAATTAATTTAAAATATATATTTGGTAAACTTCACTTTACAAAAACAATTTTATGAGATTGAATTAAACTTTAAATCTATTACTTAACCGTCTTTAAATTTATATATATATATATATATATATATATCCAAGTTTCTTGTAAATGGAAGAAAAAGATATAAAGAATTGAATATGTACAGAAACGTACCATAAGCGACTTTACTTCTTTTCTCTTGGCCTTTGTATTGTATCAGAGCATAGGGATCCATTTTACCTATGAGCAAAATAAAACAATAAACAACCCATTTGAGCATATTACAAATACCATCTTTCATTCAGCTTTATCATGTATATAATCGTTTACTTATAAAACTCTTTAAAAAACTGAAAAATGCACACACTTCAGTTTTTAAACCAAGAGAAGAGGAAAATTCAGAAAAACATTGTGGTTTCTGAAAACAAAACAAGGCAAAGGCAATGCAGTAGTTAATAATAATACCAAAGATATCGGTGTTACGTAGGCCTTTTGCTTTCACAAGTTGCACCTCGATGAAACCGATTGCCATGTCTGTGTTCCTGAAGAATGAAGATTCTGATTCACCAAATTCTTACAATAGACGTGCTTGATCTGTTTTAGGTTTATGAGCGTTGAAGTTGGAAAAAATGGTAGCCTTGTGTTTGCTTATATAGGGTTCTAAGTGTGACTATGCATTTAATGGGATGACCAAGACTTTGGCATTGTACAAAAAATCAAAGTATGAACAGAATAAGACCGTACGCGCATGCACCTCAAGCTTGGTCTGGTCTCCCAATTTCCAAAAACCTACGCAAATAATTTAATGTCATTTGGCCTTAGTAAATTGTTGAAAAGGACAACTAGATATTATTTGCTATTTTCTATGAAAACTATACATAATCAATAGCGTAACTAAATGACTCAGTAAGATTTTTACTTTATTACTCATCATATGGCTGCTACTTTTTATTGGGTGGAGGAGGGTCTAGAAGGGCTGCCATGTGCTTCCATGCTTAAAGAACTCACATTAGTAACCTCCCGTAACAAATTAAAAATTAATAACTTATAATTTTAGAATTGGGTGAATTAGAAAATGTCCTATATATGTTAACCTAGTATTGATGAAAATTAATGTTAAGTTTATTGAAGAACTAAACGTTGCTGTAGCAAACTCTTTTGAAGACGAGTCTTTTTCTTAGGGTAGAATCGGTTTGAACTTGAGTGCTGACAAAGCTTTAATATTGTATGGTGTCATTATGTTATTTGTCTTTGTCTTTGTCATATAAGATTTGATGACCAGTTCAACCAGTCACTATGAAATGTCTACTGGTCTATTTTGGAATACATCGATCAAACAACTAGGATTTTACTTCAAACTTCTTGATTACTTTTTCTAGAATGTGTTATATAGCATAAAGTAAATTAATATATGTAATTTTGTAATAATATATTACAATCTTTATACGTTAAAATATATATATTTTAAAGATACTTTTTTTTTCAAAAAAAATAACATGTTAAGGTAACGTTATAAAATGTTTTAATATTTTTGCTTGAAATATTAAATCATTTAAAAAAAAATGTTAAACCTTGATCTAATTAATCATTATGATACAAAAGGAATTTGAATTTTGTTCTCTCTTTAACAAACTAATTTAAGATTGTGACACTTATTTTTGAGGTTTGGATATATAAATTATCATATAAATCTTTAAAAGTTTATATTGTATATATATTAAATTGATCCTATTATTCTGATACTTGTGGCTGTATTTGTTATTAATTATAAGTATACTAATATTATGATTGTTTACAACATTATATTACTATATATGGTTGTATATTATATTGGATTCTTATTATAATTAAAATACTTGAAAAATATTTAAGTTAGACATTTTTCTATCTGTAAGTTGTGAGAGAGAGATTTAAAGGAAATTGAAGCGGAACAGATGTATACATTAGATTGGACCGTCTGATTTTAAGAGTAATATATAAATGAAAGTTTTAAATTTAGTCTCATTCTTTGCATACACACTCTCTCTCCAAAATTATGATCTTCTCTTTTCTCCTCCTTCTCTCTAAAAATCTTCATCAAGTTAATCAATTGTTCTTCATTCAGGAGGAGTTTAAGAGATCCTTGAGCTGAAGGATTTCTTGTCAACCAGTTAATTCAATGATTTGAGTCAGTAAGTTTCACCTTCTCTTCTTAGTGTTTCGGTTTTATGGTGCATGCAAGGGAAATTCCGTTGCATGTATTCATCAACTTCTTCTTCTCAATTCTGATCATATTCTTGGTCTTTTGGTTAATCCTTTCTTTTTAAATCGATGATCTTTAGGTGTTTTTAGATTTTCTTGAAGTTCAAACAATTCCCTGAAGGTGTAAAAGCTTTATGTTCGGTCAAAGAGGTAAGGGAAGCTAGTTAATTTAATTGTGATTTTCTGTGTATGAAATTACTGTTTGGATGGTTGCATGTGGGTAACTTGAATGTTTGATTGAATTGTGTTGAATCTGTGAATGTTGGAACCGTTGAACTAGTTGGAGTTTCTCTACATAAGTGTTCGGTCTGTTCTAATCTTAAGGAAGTGGGTATGCGAATATGATAGTTTGGGGTTGGGAGTGAAATCTGGTACGGGACTCTTTGGGATGATGTTAGAACGATTTTAGGTACCTTTGGATAGGCTTAAAATGATATATGAATCATGTTTGGAGGATTAGAAGTTGGGAAGTGGTAGGAATTGGTGAAGATAGTGGTTGATCATAATTCTGGAGCTATTCTGTAGAATTATGCAGATCGTCGAGTGTCATTCATTGACCGTTCAACTTTCTTCTTGTGTTCGATCTTAACTGAGTTTTACTTCTGTAGAGCTTTTCAGTTAATGACTGATCGTTCTTGTACTAGTATTTTGTTTTATTTATAACGATCGTTCTTAGTGGATTGTGTAGTCTCTTAGTAGCGATCATTCTTAGTAGGTTGTGTAGTCTCTTAGTAACTATCTCATTATTCATTAATATTTAATTTTAAATATGACATATATATATATATATGTGTGTATATATATATATATATATATATATATATG